GACACGATTTGACAACTAAAACATGATAATCTAATTCCAAATATCACTTTTTTTCAAATAGAATTAACGTCACTTCCAACTTTGACCACATTTTAAGTTATATTAATCATTACAGTAAGTGGTTAAATTAAATGTTCAAGTGGATAGCTAATAATGGAAGTGTTTGATTTGGTACTGTTAAATGAAACCTGATTTCGTTAGTTAGGTTGTGTTTACTGCAGAAAAAGTATGAAAACCAGTTCAAGTACCAGTGACGTCATAAGAAGCCTAGTTGTCAAAAATTTACAGAAATAACAATATGCAAATGTTACTGAGTAAATTAAGTAATATATATATATATATAAAAGAAACTTTGTTGAACCTGTGTATAGGTAATACAGATCATCGAGGGCCTCAAGACTTTTATTACAACCACCAATGAACACAAGAACACCACCTATAATTGGGTCCAAACAGTCACCAGATACAGAAAATCTAGCGCAAGGACTGTCACCTGTAGTTGCCACCTTGGTCCAAAGACCAGTATCTGCACCAAATCAGAGTTGAAGTATGACATGAAGGTTAAATAAATAACATTAAAAATATCTAGCTAAAGTTTCAGATCTAAAAAGATGACATATAAGGTTAACTACAAAAATCGATTAGTGAGAATTGAGAAGTGACCAGTATTGAAATGGCTACCAATATCAGATTTCTAGAAAATAAAGTGCCCTGCTTCAAAAGGTTCAAACGACAGATATGATCAAATATCTTACCAGGAATGTTTAAAATTCTGCACCGAAGGAAACATGCAGGAAATAATATTGTTAAAAGACATTGACACACACACCTTTCCTCCATGGAGCCAAAACTATCTACCACCGAGTGTTATGACAATGATGGAGCTGTTACACTACTAGTTTGAAGTTTTTTTAAACAGAGTTTTTCATAGTAAGGTTCTTCATTTGTTTAAACAACATATCAAGAACAGAAATTTAAACATGAAAGTATTGGGATAGCTATAGTAAACATACCAACATCAAGCATATAAAGATCATTATATAGACTTTGGGAATCTGTAAATCCCCCAAAAACAAACAAGTTCTTGCCGAAAGAAACTGTAGAATGACCAGCCCGAGGCGGTAACAACTGGCCTGATGTATTCAGCTCCCTCCAAATGAGAGTATCTAAGGATAACAAAAGATCCAAAACAAATCATAAAGATGCATATTATAACAAATTAAAATATATTTCTATGAATTACGGATAAGATACCAGCATCAAGGATATGGACATCAGACAAATAATAATCATGTCGATCTTCACCACCAATCACAATAATTTTGTTTTTCCAAGATGAACAGGAATGGCTGTCACGGGGAGATGGTGGAGTGCCTGATGTTGCAGCACACTTCCAAACAAATGTCTCTAAAAGTGAAAGCAGAGGAATTATCAGCATCTTTCCAATCAACCATCTAATTCAAAGCTACAATACCGAAAATTCCAGCAAGCACTGTTCAGGTTGAGGGGAAGGTAAATGGGAACTAAAATGTTCCGGATCTCAAGCTTTAAGAACTCCAACATGCAATTAAACCCCAACTTTTCACTAAACACACAGCCACAAACTCGAGATTCCTCACAAACTTTTCATTCCTGACTAAAGTGACCATGAAGTTACAATTAGTCCTGCGTATTTCCAAGTTCAAGAAAACGTCCAAAAAATAATCATTAAGGATTTCGTTTAAAATATGCATGTATGTTAGCCAATTTCATTATACTTTTGCCACCTATTTGCGATTTCACATAAGATATTATGGATATAAATTGTGAACTAGCCTGATTAATAACTGGCAATATGCTCATGAAAAGTCACCTGTATTCAATATGTACAGATCATTATAGTAGACCTCATTGTCTTCTGTAGATTTTCCACAACCGCCAAATATGAAAAGCCGTTTACCAACAAGAGCAGAACTATGACCCTCACGTGCCTCTGGTCCCTCTCCTCTTATATTTGGAGAAATCCATGTATGTGACGCTAAAAATGATTTAACATCAGTAAGTACTAGATGGTGAAACGAATCAGTTAAGAGATTATACACACAAAACATAGTCAGGCATTGGCAGCATAACATTCTCAGAATTCCTTGCTAAAGCTGTGGTTTCCATCACCATCATTTTAAAATAAGTGCGGGACAGAACTTGTACAGGCAAACATAAAGTATTCTCAGAATTCTTTACTAAAGCTGTGGTTTCCATCACCTGGTAAGCATTAGTTTTTGGTTTTCAAGCCATAATTGGCATATGAATTAGACCGACAAACTCCAATAGTGAAATAGCAGAATGACGACTCACAAGTGTCTAGTATGTGCAAATCTCTAAGCGGGCTCGTCCCATCCGTACCCCCAAACACAAACAGATTATCACCAACAGCAGTACAGCTATGGCTGTCCCTAGGAGTAGGTGGGGTGCCTTTGATCAATGGTTGGCTCCAAGTCTGCGTGACTGCAAATCAACAAAGAGGAATAAAATGGACAGTGTTCACATCGAGTTGCCAGAGAGCTAGTAGTTCATTAATAAATGAACAAATACATCAAGCCCATACAAATATAAACTAAATCGCTATATAAAACCAACCACCAAACAACGTATCAGACACATTATTCTCGCATTTCTAAAGCCAATAAAATAAAGAAATAAATATCGTCAGAAAAGGGACAAAGAAAAATGCAACCCCAAACTCGCAAGAATCCAAAAAAAGAAAAGAAAGACAGAAAGAAACTACATTTTCTTATAGGACACCAAGTATCTCGCTGAAAGACATGGGAATGAATCAAATAACAGAAAAATGCCATAAGAAAGACGAACAAATCCTCTTAGAAGCAAGAAAACTGTGATTCGAAAGCATGACAGCATGCATGAACCTGGATTTATCAAAAGCTTTTTTTCACATTTCATCTCAGAAAACCGAGTAAACAACAATGCGACGTCAATGGGCAAGAAATTTCTTATTCCAGACAAGATAGCGTGAAAACAGATAAGACGCAAGAGATTACAGTGTAGACCCACCAGTGTCGAAGACGTGCACTAGGTTGGTCTGACAGTTATCTCTGCCGTAGCCCCCGAAGACATAGAGAAGTCTCCCTCCTTTGATGGCGTTGCAGGTGTGACCCCACCTCCTCCCTGGCCCAGAAAACTCATCAGCACCTTCTCCTTGACCCTGTATGGGCTTTACCTGGACCTTTTCCCACCTCATTTTCGAGATTCAATTACAACGAAGCAATTGCTGAGGAAAACACAGGAAAAAATAAAAGAAAACTGAAGATTAGGGCGCCGAAAGTGAGATTATCGACCGGGGGTTGCTGGAGCGCGTATTTTCTGAGAATTCATTCATGCAACAGAAAATAAGAGGAATAATAATAAATATCCTTGGAACTTATGTCAGGAATAACTAATTAAAAAAGCTCTTGAATAAATAAAAAAGCCTACTTGAATTTTAGAATAATTGCTATTTTAGAATAAGAGTTTTGATATCTTTAGGATCATGATTTAAGACGCACAATATTTTTTTTGTCCGAGTCCTCCATCGTGAGTTTGGTGGGAAATAGGAATAAAACTCTGAAACCGAAGTGTCCTATTCGGATCATATCACAGCGACACTGCGAGAGTAAAAATGGTAAAGATAGAAAATGATAAAGCCACGGGCAGGGGCTAATGGAAAGAAAGACAGTTGAAAATACAAATTGAATAAGGAAAATTTTGATTGGTGGCCTGTGGTTAGGTTAGCAGTCTAGTGGACTAGTTAATTGTTGTGATCAATGTAACTGCGGACTGTTGATAATTAATATTGGCTTTAAAGTCCATTTTTATCCATCGGCTATGCCACAACACTTAATGTCCTAAACTCTTATTTAATTTAATTAACCCCTTGGAGTTTCAACAATGGATCACCCATTATCCTTCCATTAAAATGAAGCTAATGCAGAAGATCTAGGTTTGGCTAAAATTAGTTACATAAATTGAATTAAATACTTTTTTTTTCTATCTTTACAGGAGTGTATTCTTTGGAATATAAAAAAAGAAGCGGGTAATACACGATCACATAGTGTCCCTTGGCAAAAGCTCTTCACTCACATGTGTTGAAATATTTTGAAAGAAAGATGGAAAATTATTTACTCTAAAGATGATATTCATGAGAGGAACATTGTTTTCACCAACATATAAAATATTTTAATGATCAATACCTCCAATCTAGAATTAATTTTTTGACTCAACAAGGTGATAGAACAAAAGCCAAATGGTTCCATAAAAAAGATTGGGTAAGACTTGATATAGATAGCTCTGTCAACAATCAAATGGCTACTTTTTGTGATGATCTCATTCGAGATAACCACGGTAATTGGATCAAAGGCTTCTCTAAATTTTTGGTTACCATCCCAACATTACGGCTAGACTTATGGGCATTCTTGAAGGACTCAGTATTTGCTGGGCTAAAAAGTTTAATAGAATTAATGTTTATTCAAATTCTACTGAAACAATTATGCTCATACACAATAAATTTTCTAATACTCATTCGCTTGCTGCTTCTATTAACAAAATTAGAAACCTTTTATGCATGATTGGACTATCACTTTTGATCACATTTTTAGAGAGACTAACAAATGCACAGACTATATGTCTCATCAAGCCTTTTCCAACAACTCAATTGTTCAAATTTTTAATAGTCAACCTTCAGATTATAGTAACTTTTCATATGCTAATATGATTTAATATGTCTATTCGTGCGGTTTTTTGGTGACCTTTATTAAAAAAAAAATAAAGCTAACCGCATTAAGTGATGCAAGTGGGACCCAAAGTTTGCTAAGTGTCATTTGAGGTGTTTTTTTTTTGGCACACGTGGCATGCTTTTAAAAAGAAAAAATAACATGTGGCAAGTGGGCACCACCTCATCATGAACCAACCAATAAAAACATCCCAACTCAAATATAAAGGGTCCCACAAGTTCTTGAGTCCTTTTTCCTCATGTTCGTCGAAATTCTGGTCCTTTCTTCAAAGCTTCAAAGGGCGGTGTTCATCTCCTTCTCTCTCCGTGCCTCACCATCTCCGTCTCTTTGCAGTCCTAACATTCGTTGAAAGATCAAGGGGCAAGTGCATGTTAATGGAGAACCCGGTGACTTGAACGAACACAAAAACAGCGATGACAGGGCATCAATCTATGCGACATGACGAAAACTTGAAAGCTAGGCTTCAATCATAGCAGGATGATGACAACAGACGAAGGCTAGGCTTCAATCTGAGGTGGGTTTTGTGAAGTTTTTGGGATTTAGATACACAGCGAAGTTGTTGTCTTTATCGAACAGAGGGGGGCAAAGGAGCAAAACTCGTAGAGGTGCGTGGATTTTTTGGATTTGTTCTGGCTTTCTGGCTTTTCTATTTTTGCCGAATGCTTTCTTGATTTTTGCTAATTTCTGGCTTTTCAATTTTTGCATTGGATGTACGTTTTGCTTTCGATTTCTGGGTTTGAACATGGACAGTTTGATTCTAATTTTTTGGGTTGCCAGCTTTGATTTCATCTCAACCTTATTTTTAATGCTCAAACATTTGAGTTATCCTCTTGGGTCTTTGATTATGGTTTACCTAAGATATTTTTCTCCAATAACGAAATAATCGCGTTAAAAATATCTTAAAAACTTTCCTTATGTGTATTATTAGAGACATTCAAACAGAACAAAATTGCTTTTTGATTCATCAATTTTAGCTGTTTGGTGTTTGGTGCCTTTCTTTCATTTTCTAGGCGACCAAATAGGAATGATTATAGGAAGTTTTTTCATGATCATTGTCACAGCCTAAGTTTTTTTAGGAATGATTATGGTTTCATTTTCTTTCATTTTCGTGAGTGAAGAGGAAAAACAAGAAATTCTTTGGTTGTACCATTGCCACGAGCTAAGCTTCCTGCGAATTTGGTCAGAGGAAGAAGACTATCTTCTAAGTCTCTTAGAGGATTTCACTGCTCAAATAAACATGCTGCTGGAGGAGGATGGAAGAGAGAGATGAGTTGGCGAGAGAGAAGATGAGGAAGCAAAGTGTACTCATGGGCTTGGGGTGAGGTAGAATATCTGGTGACACATGGGATGACAAATGTCAATTTTTAATAAACAAAATTGATTTAACAATCAGACTTAACTGAATGTAACGATAGGACATTGGATGATTTTGTTTCAAAAGTTAAAAAAGTTAATTGGACAAAAAAAAATTTAGAACACTAAGTGTTCTTAAAGATATAATTTAGAGATAAAAATGAACTTTAATCTATTGATATTTAAATTAATCTTGTGTAAAAAATATTTTAATAATCAACATCCGTACATTGTTAGATAAAAGTAAGTCCCAAATTTCCTTATTTTTCTTTATTTGATTACCTGTGAAAATAAGAGAAAATACATAAATTAGATACTTGTAAAATTAAGAGAGACTAAAAAATAAATGACTTGTGAAAATTGACTCATTCGTGTTTAACTATATAGAGAGGGAGAGCAAGTAATTAACTCAAACGTTAAATTAATTAATTTGAGAGCTGGTTTTTATTTTAATAAAAATTTAAGGGATTAACGTAATAATAAAAAACATAAAAAATTATATTGATAAAAAATTAAGTTTAATAAAAAAATTAAACTAATAATTAAAACAAATCAAGTATCAAAAGTTTTATTATCGTTTTATTTTTCTGGCAACACTTTTGTCTGATTTGTTCCACCTTTTAACTTGTTTTTTCAAAAACATTTTGGATGCATTCGAGTTAACAGATTGCATTTAAAATTAAAGGGGGAAAAAAAAAAAACCTTTATGACAAAGTGTTAATTGAACGTTCATTTGCCTCCAAAATCGCCGTGATCGGGAACCTGCCAAGCCTCGATATTGAAAAGCCGGTGATTGGGTTCGTACTAGATGCTTCTAAACTCTCTCTCTCTCTCTCTCAGGCAACTGATGCTTCTAAATTCTATTGTGCCAGCTATCCAAGAACTAAGTCTGATTACTTTAAAATTTGACGCTGATTCTGTGAACTGTAACCAATGCATTACTCGGTTGGCCCAAAAAAAAAAAAAAACTAATGCATTACTTGTAACGTTTGTATGCTCCGTTGATTAAAAATGTACTAAACATTTTCACAAGTTAGATATGATTGGCCTTGGGTAATGAAATATTTTTTTGTTAGAATATTTTCAAAAAGTCATATTCTTATGAATTGAAAAGTTATGTTCTTATAAATTAATTTATTTTTTTTATAAAATGTTATGTAAAGAGTTACAGTCAACAAACTCATATCTCGTTAAATTTTAAAGACATCTTTAGAGGGTTGTAAAACAAAAAGGTGTTACTTGATGAAAGAAAATGTATTTCAAAAAAACTATATATATTAAAATGATATTTTGTTATGGAAAGTTAATATAATTAACTCTTGATTAATATTAGTCATGTAACTTTGTAAACTGAGGAACCAGTATAGAAATGTTCATGAACCAACATTAGTTATAATTTTTAAGAAAATCTTCATTACTTAAAAGGTATCACTTCAATATTTATAAGTATTTCTCACCTTCACTCATTTCTGACATGCAAAAGACATCCATTGATTGAAATTCATTGTTTCTATTTTTTGAGTGCACTAGAGATAAAATCAAATTATTACTTTATAAAAATCATTATTGTTTTGACTTAAGTCTTGATAATGTAGACCATATTCAAAGGTCTTTATTGTATGTTGAAAGAAATTTATCATCAACTCAACTTACACCTAAAGATTGAAATAGGTGGAAGCAAATTAAGTCAAAAAGAAAATATTGCGTATGCCTTAAAGACGACATCCACTACTTTCTTCTTCATCTCTAATTTGTTTGTTTTTTAGAGAGCTATCCCCACTAACAACCTTTAAGCTTAATCTTATAGGCTTCTTTGAAGGAGTTAACTACAAACTTTGTGATGTTGGAAAAATTTTAAGACACTTATTTCAAGAGTTGTGATAATTGATCCAGTGTTTTGTAAAAATTCCTTGGTCAATTACAAAGGAAACAAATAAGCAACAGTTTGCCTCTATTTAGTTAGGGTTGTAGATTCATGAAGTTTATTCATGATTTAGTTTCAAGCAATTAATTTTGCTTTTAAATATTTGGTTGTTTGGCTTTTGTCAATATAATATTTAAATTATGGTTAGAAAGTCATAAGTGGCATGATGGATTTTGAATTATAAGTATTCACTAGATAGTTATCATGGAATATTCTAACGTCAATTAGATAAGTTGATAATTATAATGTTGGGTTTTACTTTTAATTAGAACAATTGATGGAAAATATATTGTGGAATAAATGCATGGATTGATATTTGAATTGTTTCAAATGAAATTGTGCATCTGGATGAAACTGTAATTGTCTATTCAATCATAGACAAACTTCCTCCTTCATGAAAAGACTTTTAAAAGAGTCTTAAACATTGAAAGGAAGATATCTCTCTCTAGCTATTGGAGAATCATCTTCTTATACAAGAGGAATATGGGAAAAGCAAGACGGTATGTAAAAGACACCAATATTCATGAGATGGTACGTGTGGTGGAGGAAGGGTAGTGTATAAAACCTCAAAGAATAGAGGCAAGGATAGAGACAAGAGCCATGTATTTATTTTCAATGGTAAACTTAATGTTATAAAATATGATATGATTTGCTTGTATGTAGATGACATGTTAATTTTTTGGTACTGATATTTATGAAATTGAGAGAACAAATATTTTTTTTGTTTAAAAACTTTAACATGAAATATATGGGAGAACTATATGTCATACTAGAAATCAAGATTATTAGGGATAACAATTCTCAGTCTTTCCCAATCTCATTGCATTGAGAAAATATCAAAGAAATTTGATTGTTTTGATTATTGTTCTATTTCTACTCCATTTGATTCTAGTATGAAATTAGTATTAAATAAGGTTGTCCAGTGAGACAACTAGATTATTCAAAAGTAATTAGATACTTGATATGCCATGACATGTACTAGACCAAACATGCATATGTTATAAGAAGGCTAAGTAAATACACAAGTAATCTAAATAAGAACCACTGGCATGAAGTGGATAGAGTACTAAGCTACCTGAAAGGGATAATTAACTATAGTTTGACCTATAGTGGTAATCCTTTAATTTTGTTATGATATTTAGATGATAATTGGATAAGTTACTTAAAGGATCATGTTTCCATAAGTGGATGGGCATACACGTTAAGTAAGGGTGTTGTTTCTTAAGGACCTAACAAACAGACATGCATTGTATACTCCATTACAGACTCTGAGTAGCAAAGAAGCAAAATGGCTTAAAAACTTGTTACTTGAAATTCTTATATGGCCTAAGCCAATGGCACCACTCTCAATTTATTGTGATAATCAATCTACTCTTTCAAGGGCTTATAACTAAGTCTATAATAGAAAGCCACAACATATTGGATTAAGGCATTATTATCTAAAAGATTTGATTATCAATGGTATGATCTTCATACGTTATATAAGATCAAAATTAAATCTTGTAAATCCTTTAACTAAAGGATTGACAACAAATATGATGTTGAAAACATCAAATGGGATGAGATTGAAGCCTTATAAACCTTGATCATTAATAGTGGAAAGCCAACTTGTACTTGATTGTCATCAAGTCTTAAGTTCAATGGTGAAAGCGTGCTATTAGTGTTACATCATGAAATTTTACTCCTTATTTAATCGTAATCAAGGATAATTAAGTAAATTCGAGCATGTATTGGGTGCATGGATGGTTAGAGAGAATTAATGAATTTAATAGACTTTGTATACAGCTGTTGGATCAAATTCGGAGTGAAATTTGGGCCATTGGAGCCCAAAAAGGGAGAAGGAAAAACCAAAGTCACCTCTCTGTACCATTCATTACAGTATATGGCATGAAATGAGGACATCTCTCTCCATACCATCCTTTATAGTGCGTGTTATGTGTGCTAAGGTGCATGGTCATTTTTCAAAATAAGTAGAAGCCTTATTAATTAGAAAAAATAAAAGAAGAAGGAGCTAGAAAATGAATAGCACGCATAAGATCTGTTAGGGTTAGGATTTTTGAAGGTTTTGGAGTAATTTGGAACTAACAATCATTAAGGGTGAGTTTTCTAAGCTTCTCCCTCCCTCCCTTCCTCTTTCATTTTCTCAAGTTTTGAGTTAGGGTTTATAAAAGAAAGTTGATTTTCAAACTTATAAGCTATAGGCCTAAATTCATTGACTTAAATAGAGTTAATATAAGTTGTTTAAGCTATCCAAACATAAGATTTGAGGTTTTGCATGATTTTTGGTTGTTAACTCTATTAATATCCAAAAATGAGTATTACACGTAG